GTTTCATGACATTGACTGCAATTCCCCAAATGTAACAGCTCTCTTCCCACTTCCTCCTGGTAGTTGCCTTTTCCCACAACAGGGCATTTTAAATGCCCCAGACTGTGATCGTGCTGGCTTACCCCGTGAGGGCTCTGGAGTTCCAGAAGCCAAGTGGCAGGGCTGGGCTTGGAGAGTCTTCAGCGTCCATACGGCAGTGCTTGCTTTGTCCTGGCTGTGTCCTCTGCCTTCGTTGGCTTCCTGCAGCTGGTGCACCCCACTCTGCCTGTACAGACTGTTAAACCCATTCTCTCCCTGTCCTGGAGTCGCTTCTGGATGCACTGTGGGCCCAGGCCAGGTGCCCCACCCCTTGAGTTCTGTGTGTTTCCCCCTGAGACTGGACCTCCGATATCTTTACTTGCACTCTTTCCCTGTGGTTATCTGGGCAGCCCCTGGCCAAGCTCTCCGTGGGGATAAGGAATCATCCTTTTGCCTAGCTGTGAGCTCATGCTGTCCTTGGTATGTGACCTCCGGAGTTGGCTCTGCTGCTGGCCTTGCACCGCAGACCCAGGCCCCTCTCCCTCTCACCACACCCTGTCTTAACAGTAGCTTCCAGCCCCACCCTGCTAATGGTTAACTGATTCTTTTCACTTTTGTCCACTTTCAGTGTTTAAGGATGAGATTCAAAGACTCTCTAGTTGTTATGTGCCGTGAAGTCAGCCCTACTCATAATGACCCTTCCTTGGGTTTCCCCTCCTTGGGTTTCTGAGGAGGTATCACTATGGAAGTGGATTGTCCAGTCTTCCTTCCGAGGAGTGGCTGGTGGGTTTGAACTGCCAGCCTTCTGGTTAGCAGTCAGGTGCCTTAGGCACTATGCTACCAGAGCTTTTAGGATCTGGGAACTAACAAATAGATGGTTGATAACCTAGTGTAGTATGAGGAGGACAGAAGGAGAGAAGTTTGTCCCTTAAAAATAAACTAAATCTATGTCATAAATAGCAAAGTGTCACTGATGTTTCAAACATGGCAGTTTGTGAAAGAAAAGACAGGCTGATACAGAAGTAGAAGAGGCAAAATGTTGCCTCCTGGCTTAAAGACCGTAAAGAATGCTCTTTTTAAAAGTCTCAAGTATAGGAAGAGTGAAGTGACGCAGTTACCAGGCCACCGGTTGCTGTTGAGTCATGGACTCGGTGCCCCGTGTATCAGGGAGGAACTGTGTGTAGGGTTTCACGTGGCTGGTTTTTTTGGAAGCAGATTGCCACGCCTTTCTTACCATGCATCTTTGGATGGACTGAATTGCCAGCCTTGTAGCAGCTGAAAGCATTGTTTGCACCATAATAAAATTCAAATTTAGTTTAAGTTTTAAAAGTTATGTGAGTCTTTGACCATATACTGTTAATGATGGGAAAAAAAATCTCAAAACATAGAAACCCGTGGGGAGCCAGGGCTGGGTGGGTGAGTGGTGGATGTTTATCCAAAGTCATCAGGTAGCTGAACCCAAAGCGTTTCCAGAGGCTGGTGTCTGAGGCCTCAGGCCTCCCTTGATGCCACAGATGTTCTCTTGGGCTTCGATTCTCCAACCTGAGTGCAAGACCCATTTTGCTGTTTTACCTGAGCATCCCTCCTGCCTAGTTTTGTGCCTTCCGCTCACCTGGGGAAAATTGCTGTCTTTAAAATAAGTACGTAGCAACTTGCTTTCTAATTTCTCTGTGTTCTAGGTCAGCTATGGGCCACACCCTGCCCCTGGCCAGTTTTTGTCCTGCTCTGGAACTAAGAAAGTGATTTTTACCTCTGCTGAGGTCCAGTTGGCAGTGGAGGTTTCATGATTTCAGTTTTCATTTTATATTTATTGGGAAACCTTGAGCAGCAAGGCTTTCATAAAATGCTAAAATGGTTCTTGCTTTCAGGGAGCCCAGAGACTAAAGGTGTAGAGGACATAACCACAGTCATGACCTCAGGTTTTCCCTGTCTTCACCAAACCAAAACCAAACACACTGCCATTGAGTTGACTGACTCATAGTGACTTCCATTGGGTTTCCAAGGCGCTCGGTCTTTATGGAAGCAGGCTGCCTCATGTTTCTTCCTGTGGAGTGGCTGGTGGGTTTGAACCACTGACCTTCTGGTTAGCAGCCCAGTGCCTTCAGCACTACTCCACCAGATCTCCTTTTTTTCTGCCTTGGGGATAGATTAATTAATGGGAGGAACTGAAGAGCATATTGACTGCTAACAAAAGTAGCTACTGTCATCTTTATGCAGTCATGATGAAGCATCTTCCCTTTTTTCTTTCTTTAGTATCATGGCGCTATGACTACAGACTGTGGTGTGATAGCTTCAAAAAATACATTAAATGTTTTCTGTACTTGTCCAAACACCATTCCTTCAGGGAAAATACCCTGATGTGGTTCAGTGCTGTCCTAGTTTTCACTGCCATGTGTCTTTGCTATCTTCTCGTGTCTTCTGTTTTGCTTTGTCAGATTTACAATGATTGGATGGGTGAAGATCTCGGTAGACCCACACTATGGGTATAGCCCTTGCTCAGTGAATTCTGGGAGGGATTTTCTTAGATAATTATTTCTTAAAACATCGTGGACCATTTCCACCACCTATTTGTCACTTTGTCCTGCTGTGGTGACTTGTATGTTTCTAGGATGCTGGAAGCTGTGTCACCAGCATTTTCAATCCCAGCAGGGTCACCTGTGGTGGATAGGTTTCAGTGGAGCTTCCAGACTAAGACAGACTAGGAAGAAAGGCCCGGTAATAAAAAAAAAAAAACAAAACAATGTGGACAAATGTGCCCTGCCATAGCACTTCTGGGAATGTCTCTATGTAGAACTGGTGTGCTAGCAATCTCACCAGAGTTAAATACATTACATTGGTATATGTAAGACAGTGCCAGCACTATTACTCCAGGGTGGCGTAAGGGAAGCTGACCAGCCACCCCCTCATGGCTGCTGAGTTCCTGTTCTTTTGAATATCCTCGTTGCTTTGCTCTGGGGAGTGTGAGGTAGAGAGCTTTCTCCCCAGGCTTTCCCAGTGGCCTCCACCGCATTTCCAGGGCACATGCCAGTCCTGAGGAGTGCTGGGAAGTGACACTTCTGTTCCCTTCTGGAGGAGGGAGGCAGTAGGAGCAACCTGCAGGCCAAGCCCCCCAAGCCTGCGGGGAAGCTGAGCCAGGTTCCTAGCTGGGGGGCTCTCTCCCTTATAGCCCGGCCCGCCACTGGCCATGCTGTCCTGTTCCCTCAACTCTCACAGGCTTGGTTTTTAGCTGGAGAGTTGCCTGTCTCCTGCCCTCACTACTCAGCTGAATTCCTCCTCTCTGGGCTTCAGGTTTCTGAATTACCTTCTTGTAGGATGACAAGCTTCAGGACACACGAAGTTGCTTTTCACTGGGTCCTGATTACGTTTGCGGTGACAGTTTTATTTTATTTGAATTGTGTTTCTGTTGGTGGACTGGGCCTCCGACCTCTGCCCTGGTTATCTCCCATGGCCTGTGGCCTGGGAGCCCCTCAGCCCTGACCTCCTGACCGTCACTGAGTCACTGCTCAGCCTTCATGTGTCCCCTGAGGCCCTAGGAGTTGTTTGATGTCATTGTTCCTCTCCCGGACAGGGGGAGGTTAGTGGGTTAGAACCTTCCTGCAGGCTCATAACCTTTTTCGAACAAAGCCCTGAAAGCTAAATATTAAGCAGTTAAAGTTTATAAGGGGCCCCATCTGTGCACAGCTTCCGTCTGGCAGGTAGCCGTTTTAGGGAAATGATCCTTAAAAAAAGTGATCAAACGAGTCATGTGGAGTTGATTCCAGAGGACATGCGTTGGTAGATACTCCTCAGCAGGGAGGGTTACAGTCCAACCCGTGTAATGTTTTGGAAATAAACCGTATGGGATGGTTCTCATAAAGACGTAGCAATAGGTGGTGGTAACCAGGTGACCAAAGCCACACTTGCTCTTGGGTGTATGTCTGGGCTTGAATACTTGAATGCTCTGCCTTCGGAAACAGTGGAACTTTTAAAGTCAAGGATCTTGCCACCACTGTGGGCTCCTTGACATCTTTAAAATGAAAAGCCATTTGTTCACAGATATGAGAGAGTGATCCTAAATAAGCCCGAGTGGGGACGCGTGTCGGTGCCCAGGTTCAGTGCTCGTGTTTGTATTTTATTGAGCAGACAGTCATTCTTGCTAATCTGGCAGGCACTATGCGCACGCTCACCCTCAACCTTAAGAGTTCCCGCAGAGGAAACTGACAAGTAAACAAATAGCCAAACCCCCAAACCCATTGCCATGGAGTCAGTAGATCGTGACTCATGGCAACCCCACGTGGATGCTCTGAGGTTTTCTGGGCCGTCGTCTTTATGGAAGCAGATGGCCAGGTCTGTGTTTGTGGTGTCCGCGGGTAGCTTTGCACTGCCAGCAGTAGTAGAGCACAAACTGTTGGCCCCACCCAGGGTCCTTAAACGGGCAGCATTCCCTGGTATCATACGTGAAGGTGCTGTGAAGAAAAATAAAGCAGGGGACAGAGACAGGAGGTGGCTGGTTGAGGAAGAGAGCTCTAACTAGTTAAGCAGGAGACCTCACACCAGAGACCTGAATGAAGGAGGGGAGAGCTGTGCAGATGGGCAGAGAAAGCACCTGTAGAGGAAACGGGAGGTCCCGGGTGCTGACCTGTGCCAGGAAACCAGCACGGCCGAGTGCAGTGAGGGCGAGTGGTAGATGAGGAGGCTGGAGATCACGACGCCTCGTCCACGGGCTGGGAGTGCATGGCAGCACCGGCAGCACCAGGTGCAGCAGCAGGCAACGCTCGCGTGAGCTCGCGGGCACTGTTCTGCCAGCCACCAGGGGCAGCAGGTTCTACCAGCTTCCTGGATGCTAACTCGTCTAGTCCTTCGAGCAGCCTGGTGAAGTTGTGTGTTCATTTGGCACATGGGGAAACTGAGGCACCGAGAGGTGAATTTGCTCATGGTTATACAGCTCCGGAGAGTCAGAGCTAGTGTGGTTGGTTACAGATGTCTGCAGTTCTAGGGGGCAGCTCAGGGCTAGAGGCCTAAATTTGGGAATTGCTGGCAGACACTTAAAGCCACAGCTATGGAGGAGATCACCAAGGGAGTGAGCATAGACAGGCTGAGGGCCGCAGAACGCCTCCACACGTAGAGTAGTTGGAAGGAAGGTGGCGTCCCTGGGTGGCCCAGATGGTTACCTCATTGGGCTGCTAACTGAAAGGTTGGGTCCGAGTTGACCCTCGGTGCTACAGAGGAGAAGCCTGGTGACCTGTGTCTGAAGAACCAGCCACAGAGAGCCCACTGAGCACAGGTCTCCGACACACGGGCGCTGTGGTCAGCGCCGACGCCACAGCACCTGGCTTTAGAGGAAGAGGAGACGTGTCCCCAGGAGGCAGACGAGCAGCAGGCGGTGGGGCAGAAGGAAAACCAGGGCCTTCTGGGTGGGCGGGAAGCAAAGTGAAGAAACGCTTCAAGAAGCCAGACGGCACTATGAGATCACGTGAGGGGAAGACTAGGGAATGGGCATTGGACCTGACCACAAGGTGCTCACTGGTACCTGGCAGGTGTTCAGGAGAGGACGAGGGTGTGTGGGAAAGGGGGCAGTGGGTGTGGACAGTCCAAGGGCCATTGCTCTGTGTACGTGAGGTGCTGGATGATAGCAAGTGGACGGAGGGGTGCAGTGTGGGATGATGGTGACGGGGATGGAGGAACGGGCACGTTTTTAGAGGGTGGATACTGCTTCCTGCCGTGGGACTGAGCTGGCGGTGGGGGCAGAGCAGGGGATGCAGCTGAGAGGAGCTGCTGCAGAAGCTCAGTCCTCGTGAAGCGAGACTAGATGTGCGGCAGTGTGGAGTGGCTTAGTGTTTTTTTGTTGTTGAGGGCCACCGCAGCCTGAGAGATCTTACGTGTGGAGACACCCATCGTAAATTTTACCTGTGCACATCCTGAAAAGATGGCATTGGAAACTCACCTTTTCTCCTCCTCTCTTCTAGGTGCCGTGCTATGCATTTGATAAAGAGTTACAGAAGCATGATTTAAATCCCTTGATCAAGAGTAGCGGCGGTTATCTGGTGGATGACTCTGATCCTGACACATCTCTGTTCATCAATGTCTGTAGAGACATAGGTCTGAGTCTCGAGGGGCTGGGAGCTTGGGTGGGCGACAAGCCTTTTTTCCTTATCTTTGCCCTTCCACCCTTCTTCCTGTTTGGACATTCATGTCACTGATTAAATCTGGGAAGGGAACATTTGTCCCAAGACACAGTTCCTGATGCTGTGGCCTTAGAAAGGCTTGATAAATCTTCAGAAAAACCAAGTCAGTACATGGGGGTGGAGGTCATTGCTGGGGAGCAGATACGTGAGTGCTGATTTACAGTTATTTTAAAAATTGTACGTATGCATTGTATCCCATCCGGTTTGTATGTTATCTCTAAACAGTTTAAAAAATAATGCCCACACAGCTCTCCCAGAGTGACCGGCGATAACTTTAAATTGCCTGTGGGTCAGTTAGTAAGCCTGTTTCTTGCTCTCCAGAAATGTCTTGAGTGTTCTTTTAGAAAAATGCCGATGAAGCCAATCTTCGTGTGTCAGTGGGTCTGTAACTCAAAATTGCTGGCATAGTTGAAGGAGCCTGTAGATTAGTGAATTTGGAAATAATACGCTTTTCTGGTTTGGAAAACAGATGTAGACTTCTGGTCCTTTATCATTTCGAAGATTCTCTGAATTCACAGCATATCTTTGTATACATTGTCCCCAGCGTCCCAGAAATTTGATTGACACCGGAGGGGCCCTGGGTTGGGGGAAGCAGAGCTTCTCCACTCCCAGGAAGTTGACCTAAGCCTCAGACCAGTTTTGAAAGTGACCCTTTACCCTCACGCATAGGCTTAGATTTACTGCCTTTTGCTCATCTCCTTGCATGCTGGTTGACACATGCCTGACGCTTTGCCTTAAACGAATGCATGGGCCTAACACTAAGTCCCTGTAAGGGCAATTGCCTCTAGCACAGCAGGTCCTCTGTGTGGAGCAGAGCAGCCTGTAGGTCGAATTTCATCCTCCCTTCTGGTATTTGGACATCCTCAGAGGTAAAGGTTGCTTTTCCATTTGTGAGCTGGCGGACCCTCACAGAAAACCAGAGAAGCCAGGGTAACCCGCCTGCGTTAGGTGACCAGGCGAGCACAAAGCAAGGCCCTGTTGTTATTTACACACACGTTCATGGGAGAACCCTTTCCTGCACCCTTAACAGTGTGCTGGGTACTGATTTAGGCAGGCGCTGGGAATACAGCATGGGAGGTCTGGAGCTTATCGCCTGGTGGGTGGAGAGCTACACAGTAAGCAAGTCAACCTAGAAATGTGCATGCTGGGAAGAGGGATGCAGTGTAAAGGGGAACAGGGCTGTGGGAACTGCCTTGGCTGCTGTTGGTAGCATGGCTCCAAGTGCAGTAGGATGTTCTTGTCCTTAATCCTCCCCAGATCTGTGGAATAGCAAACTGCCGGGTGGGTTGATGTGTTGTTAGGCCCGAGTTAGAGAGACAGGAAGTGGTGAGTCTGGGATTTGAACCTCAAACTGTCTGCATTCTTTCCACTAATCTCCTAATCTTTCCGCTATCTGCAGAGGGCCTGTGTTTTTGGGTCTGTTTATGGCTCGGAAGGGGTGATGTTAATGTGAGTGTATTACTAGGAGAAGGTGGGGTGCATTCCTTATCTAGAAATACCATGACAGTCACTGTTTGTTTGCTGGCACGTTTTATGTGCCAGCTGCCGAGTGACACATCGCATATCTACTTTCCCCCTTCCCCCCATCTTCCCAGCAGTTCTGCATGGTGGGGGCTGTCACTCTCATTTTACGGATGAGAAAAACCATGTGCAAAAGAGCCCAAGGTCTCAGAATGGCCTCTGAGGCCTAGGCCGTTTTTTTTGGTTTCCAAACTTCTCCTATCTCATGTTACTTAAGAAACATTCAAAAGTTCTGTCAGCTTTTGAAGGGGTTAGGCTGGCCCAGAGGGTAGCCGTGAGGACCACGCCTGAGACCAGGCTGACGAGTGTAACGTGTGCTTCCTCCCAGATTCGCTGCGGGATTCCAGTCTGCAGCTGCGTGCTTGTCCCTCCGGTGCTGCCGCCTGCCTGGTGAAAGGGGACCAAGGGTTTGATGTCGGCCAGCCAAAGGACGGGCTGAAGCTTGTGGGCAAGGACAGGTCAGTCTGTGGCCTCCACTGCTGCCGTGTTTTCAGTCCTTGGCAGGGACCCAGCTATCCAGGGCCTTGGGATCGTCCCTGCAGAACGATGGCTACACGTGTGCTTGTGAGGTTACTGTCAGTGCTGGGTCTCAGAGGCCGGTCGCCTGTGGCTTGCTTCTAATCACGTGTCTGCTATAGAGGTGCAGACGTGTCGTGTACTTGGGCCCAGTACATGATCCACGCACAGTCGCTTCTCACTGTCTGTGGTAGTTATATCTGTAAAGTGACTGCGACCACTGAATTAGTGAACCCTGAGCCATGGCTCATGGGGCAAAGCAGGATTACGTCCCTGCAAGTCTCTGCTCACATTTTCATTGAACTCACAGTCCATAGCACTGTCCCTCGTGCCTGAACGCAGCTGATCACATACACATCTTCTCCATGAGACACTTCACAACCTTCTTGTGCTGAGAACACTGGCCAGTGCTTAGCACTGCACGTGGGGGCCATTTTCAACAGTGAAACCACCAACCACAAGTACAGAGGGTGTAGGACGTGGCACTAATTGACTGCAGAAGGACCCTTGTCACAGTCCAGAGCTGATACACAAAGGTGGCACAGCGTTTCCTGGTATGAACCTGGCTGGGAATGTGTGTGTCAGTTGACTTAGACGGTCCGTGACTCTGCACGTCTAAGCATGTCTGCAGGAGCCCTGGGGTCACAGA